GGAAGGCATCTCGCTAAGACCTGGGACGGGTATTTCGTTAAACGACGAGTGCGTCTACCAATAGGAAAGTCGCCGAGTGAAAGAGGTTTGATAAACAACAAATAAGGTGACCGGAAAAGGGTGGGGCCGCCTACCATCTCTAACCAGTCACAACTCGGACTTGAATAGTCACAACCCAATCCCAGGCCAGATATCGTCTGTGTCTCCTAAGAAGAGGCAGAGGATGATTGACAAGCGAGTGGGTGGGCGTAACCCGAACTGTTCTGGCCAATCAATTGTCACGCTGTTACCCCTGGCCTGTGAGAAGCGTCCTAGGACTTGAATGGCAGCGTACGGGAGAAAGAAAAGGAAACTCTGGGAGCGGCGTGACCTTTGACCTTATTAACGGCGACGGCGGTTGGTGAAGCGATGGCAGAGGAACGGCTGCGTACGGCAGGGAGATGATTGGGCGCGGGGCGGGAGGAGGATGCTGCCCTTACGGAGCTGAAGGCCTGAACAGGGAAATAGTAGGTTCGATGGGCTGTTGTTGACGGAACCCGAGTTTCTCTAACCTGTTGAATTTGGGTGCCTTCCTCACTTCACCCACAAATGGCTCCCAGTGTGGCTTGACGCGATTAAAAAGGAGTACATACGATGATTTAATAGTTAGTGTCTCAGACTACTGGGAGGTGTGGGTTCAAATTGCAATTCAGCCCGAGTTCATTGTCGAGGCATAATACAATGATACCGCTGAGATGGCGGTTGGGTAGCCAGGGAGAGCAGGCTCTCTTATCTAGACCTTCCTAACCAGCTAGCGGCAGGTCTCCACACAGTATTACTGCAACCCACACTGACTGCAGTGCATAAGGTGTCTTTTGAGGCAAAACACTACATGGGCATTAGACGAGGGCATCTCAGACTCAATCCCTTAAGTGATCCAGACAGGGAACATTAATATTGAGTTATTCGTTTTCAGGTACTTCTCAGCCTTTCTGGTAGCTTTCATAGCATGAGCTTCAACAGCTGCAGAGCCGGTTTGGTGTAGTGGTTAAGTGTACGGAATCTAGAGAACCGGGTTTGATTCCTCACTCCTTCACTTGGAGCTGCTGGATGACCTTGGGCAAGCCACAGTTCTGTTGGAGCAGTTCTTGAAAGAGCAGTTCCCTTCAGAGCTCTCTAAGCCCCACCTACCTCACAGGGTGTTTGTTGGGGGGAGGGGAAGGGAAAGGAGTTTATAAACTGCAATTGAAGGGCGGGATATAAATCCAATCTCCTCCTCCTCCTCAATCTTCACTGCTGAAAGGGTTGCTAGCTTTGCTATAGGAAAGATTAGACTAGTAGCCCATGGCCTGTGTCTTCCGTTTCATTTGAGGATGTTTTATGCTGGCCGGAATACAAGGTGCCTGCATGCTAGTGAATGGCATGGAGGGCACCCTGTCTTCAAAAGAGTCCACAATGTGATAGAGTAATTCGCATGTCAGACAAGCAATGATTGGGGATGCTCAAGTAGGGTTCAAACTCAGGAAATCCACTGGGTGATCTTCTCTTAGCCTAATCTACCTCACAGATTGTTGAGAGAATAAAATGCAGCAAGATAAAGCGATGTATGCTGTTCCACCTCCAGGACAGAATAAAAATGAAACACGCCTGGTCTACCCAAATAGCAAAATGAGGTGGTAGAATGGACTATCATTTCAGACTGTAAGTAGGAATGGCACTTTCTAAAACTTCCAAGTACAGCGTAAAAAAGCACCCAAGTAAAAAGCTGGTCTAAGACTTTTCTGCCAAAAGTACGTTTCTCTAGATGCAGTCTGTCTTATAAATTCAAAAGTGACATCCCTTCTAATTTGAAGTGGTATAATAATTCCACCGTCTCACCATTCTAACACCTCGTCTGATTGCAAAGATAAACCTAGCCAAAAATAGAGATATCAATTCAGCTACAAGCTGCAGTATGCTTTGCATATAGGATACCTTTTGTTGTGCAGCCTGGTTTCAACATGGGTGGGTGATTTCAGGTGAAATTAACATAAATTAGTTGTCAAACTATCAGTGTATTATATGCAGTTCTATGGAGTTTCTATCTAGAATGCATTTTGCAACAAAGATCAAGCAGGTGAGAGTTTCCACCACTGTTAGGAGCTGTAAGACCCTATAAACCAATCTCAGTCCCCATCTGAAATACCAAGAACATAATACAAGTAGGCTATAATCCCAGACTGCAGTACAGGGATATAAACAACACAAATATTACACTACACCGCTGGGTTGCTCAGCCTCAGTGGCTCTGCCTAAGAAAGTGTGGTTAAAAAAATACAGACTCGGGTTGCAGGAACCACTTTCATTCTCTTCCCTACCCCCCAATAATGCATCTCTGATGTTTGCTTCCTCTTCATTAGCAGTACACAGAGAACATTGAATGGCTTCATTTTTCACATCTGTGCAAAACATTCTTAGGGTAAATTTTAAAAGACTCATATTTTCCCCTTGTATGAGCTTGAAATAACATGCTTGCTTTTTACCTTTTGGCAAGAGGGAAAGCGATCCACAAGATTTCTGCATTGTCCCAGATAAGCAGCTGTCACCACTCTGATAAAAGCCATAGCATCAAACGTTACCAGGAAATCAGCTCTGCGACAAAAAACCTGCCAGGCTAGTACTTTTATGGCTGTGGAATAGGATCCTGCACTCTCTATCATAGCCCACCCTCTACATGGTACATGCCACCATCCCCCAATCTTTTGAGATCACAGCATTAAACCCACAGCAGTAGTGCCTAGTTACAGGCTAACCAAATTATCATATATGTATTTGATGTCAACAGCATGAGGGCTTTTGGCTACCATCCCAGATTCTGTAGTTGGGCTAGAACCCACCCATTGCACTTTTTTTGGTTATAAAATTTCTTCTTGGTTGGAAAGTGAGAATAGAAGATTAGCAGTGCTATCCTATGCAGTTTTTCCAGTCTAAGCCTACTGAAATTAATGTGCATACAGTGGAATAACTCTGCACATTGTACTGTAGGACTCAACCCACCCAACAATATGAACAATGGTTCAGAGAGAAATGTTTTTTTCTTGGCTTACCTCCATTTACAGCACATGCATTGGGCATGATGAAAGAACTGTTAAGAATGTCTGTTTCAGAAGAAAGTCACACGTTAAACTAAAAATATTTTAATGTTTTATATACTAATTTTGCAATATTTTAGAAATATTTGTAAGATAAAGAGCTACCAAAAAGAGAAAGGCAAAAATATAGTTTTTCTTATTTTTAAAAACTTCAAGGTGCTTGGACTAACAAGTTTTATACAAATCCAGAAATCTGCTTTAAAACTAACAGCCTTATAAATATAGAGCTTCTTCCAGTACAAAAGAGGGAGGGAAAAGAAAGTCATGAGTCAAAATATTGCATGTAGACAACATGGTTAAGAAAACCCTTTCTGATTTTGAAGTCTTTGTAATGATGTGTTGCTGGTTGATGCTGGCACTTTTAAACTATTACTGGGCCTGAATTGCCCAGGTCACTGAGAGACAACCTATACATATGAGCCATATTTTGTATTCTGTTCTGACATGCTTGCCCATAGGGATAACAGATAAGAATTCTTAAACATACATGAAGGATCAATACAAGTAAGTTTCCATCCATACATGAAACAGTGGACACTTCACACGAGAATAAAACACTACATAAGATTATAACGAGGTGTGTGTTTGTGTGTGTGTGTGAAAAAAAGCCTTTTTCTCAAGCCTCACTGAATTGAGTAGGGACACTCAGACTCCACCCTCTTAGCACACAGAGAATCTTTTTGTAAAATATACCAACATCATCCTTTGAAAATAACATAAATCTGTTCTTCACTTTACAATGGCTTTAAATTTTAGACACATTGCAGTATTTACTGAGAAGGTGTGCAGTTTGTCTAGATTCTACAGAAAGGAATTTGTCAGAGACCAATCATGATTTTCTGTTTCAGGGCTTAGCCTTTCTGCTATTACTGAATGCTGGATTGCATGTCAATTCACATTCTACATTGCATTTTAGTTAAATAACATGAAGAGTTCAAATGTCCTCAAGATACAAGGAGGTGCAGAAAGAGGTTTTGACATTTCAGCTCTTAAAGAATGAAACTCTTGCGTTTACAATGCCAGTTTCCTAGCTGAAAATAGATAATTGCATTATTTTGGAAACTCATACTTACTGGATCTCTCTTGCCCAGTGGGGAGAGAGAAGCAGCTTGAAATGTTAATGTCTTTATTTTCACACACCTTAATTTCAATAGCAAAAACACAGTTTTCTTTTTTTAAAAGAGTCTACATTTGAACAATACTGTGCTTGAAGCTAAAGCAACTGTGTAGGCCTACCCTGGCCAGGAGGTTGGTGATTTAGTGAAAATATACTTCAGAAAAGTGAATGAGATGGTCAACTGTAAAAGACAGATTTGTAACAAGTATGAAATGGAGAAACACGGCAGCCAGATCTTATGGCAATATTGCTCCTTCACGTAGTCTTAATATTGACCAGAAGCACAAGGAAAGATCTGCCAACTCATTGAGAAATGCAAGCACCAGACACTGGTCAGTAGGTAATTAGAAGTGGACAGCATACTGGTAAGATGTTGTTGTGGCGATTTCCTTTTAAGTATTTGGTGCAGCTATCAAAAATGATTTTATGAAGCGGCTATCTGACTGGGTTAGAAAGCCAGCTGATAATCACCAGAGGGTGAATTTGGCAGTCAAGCTTTTTTTCTGAGGCTCTCTTCTATGTCTCAGCCAGTGAACATCACAATCTACTATCACCAGGAAAAGACTGCTAAGCTACGCCATCATTGGTGCAAAATAGATGCTGCAAAAAGGCAGCCCTAGAGTAAAATTCCTTCCAACTCATGAACAGTGGGCACTTAAGCGCCTAAATCTCTCTGAGGATCTCACCTGGAAAGGAAACTTTTGCTAGCACCAGGAAGACAGCACTCCACTAATCAGGCTCTGACCCTATATTTATAACCTATGGTCTGAATCAGAAAGTCACTTGCTGGAACAAAAGTAAGTTGATCCTTGCACACAAGTTGAAGTGTGCGGGCTGCCACTAGAGGCTCAGCTCTGGGCCATCCAGTTTAGGAAGCAGCAGCAAAAGAGGTGCTTTGTGATAACGCTCAATGCAGTAGACACTGTATCAATGAAGAGGAGACAAGATTCCTAGGGAATTAAAAAAAAAGTCTGAGGAATTCAGCTGTCATCCCTTCAGCAATCTGAGTTTTTGCAGTGGATGGATCTGGAGTCTCATCTCTCCTCATGCAAGGTGAGTTGGGAGCACCAGCCTCAGCTAGTACCTTAAAAGAATCCAGGTGTAAAACTCCAAAAAGGTAAAGGCTATGGCAAAGTGGACCTCCGGTAGTCCATGCAGCTCTTAGCTGGGCAGTTAAGTGCAAGCAACTGGTGTGGTCCAAAAAAAGGGCACGTTGCAGAATCCACAGCACGCCATGATCCTGTCTCACAAGCGAAGATGTGGTACAGCTTTGGTGACATCACGGAAGAAGGGATGGTTGAGTGCAGTCTTGGCAGAGATCCTCTTATTGGGATCATAATGCAACATTTGCTAAAGAGAATGAGGAGGGAAAGGTTACAGGAATAGACAGGAGACAAAAATGGCCCATCAACATTCTTTGCTCTCAGGGACCCCAAGGGAAGACTTGCTGGAGACAAATATTTGACTCCATTGGGGAACACAAATGTGGTTGAACACCTTTATTGTGCACCAAAGGCAGAAAGACTGCAAGCAACACAAAAAATAACACTACCAATGAAAATAGCAAGGCAATGAGTTAAGTAAAGAGTGGAACTAACAAGTGTTGAGAAAGACAGGCAAAATTGCCACTGCAGGGTGGGGACTCCCAAGGATATGGTTTTATGTTGCTGCCTAAGGACTATTGGATTCTGGGAAAGTGGAACTTGCAGGACAACTCATGCTCAATACCTAACAAAACCATGTTTGATTTTACTGTAGAAAACTATCTTGTAATACTTGAGGAAAGCAGCATGACATGAAATGCAAAAGAAATACTTTTTTTTGTCTTGGTGTTCCTTCAGCCACAATCAGTTTTTGCACCATCACCCAACACCACTTTAACTTGCTATGCACAAAATCTGAATGGTCAAAGATGCATCTTTCTAAACGGCAGGGTTTTTAAAAGTAAAATGGGTAACCTAACCTGTGCGAGGGACTGAAAGTACACTACCACCAGAGTGATTACTCCCTGACAACACTACACAGAACCAGAAGCAGAGAAACTCAGATCTCTTTAACTAAATAAAATGGTAAAATTCTAGACCAAAAAGATGCAAAAGGTAAGGATGAAAGAGTGCAAATGATGTCTGGAGACATTTAGAAATGTAAAATTTCCAGAAATTTTGAAAGCATGAAAAAACATTCCCCCCCCCCCCCAAAAAAAACCCAGATTTGGGGGGAAATTGAAGATGTTGGGGGAAATTGAAAAAATGCATTTTTGTACTTTTTACAGATTGAAAGTCACTGTTACTTTGGGAACATAAAATGCAGTGTGGATAAACTGGCTTGGCATGTTTGACATATTAAAAGTACAGCTTATTCAGAAAATAATAACAAACTGAATTTACTTTTTTTAGTTTTATTTTTTGTTACAAATGGAACTACAAGGTCCTGAAATGTAAAGAACACCTGAACTATAAGGAACATCTTTTGCCAGTTTATGAGAGCTGGCAAAAACCACAACAAAAACCAAAGAAACCACTGACACAACAAAACTAAGAACATTATTTTATCTACTCTAATTCTCCTACTCATCCATAAAGCAAACAGCTGAGAGGACAGAAACAGATCCACCAACTATACCAACAAGATGAAGTCCACAAGCAAAAAGGAACAGGAAGCCTTTTTTCTTTTTGTAACAACTACAGTGCCCCCTAGAGACAGAAATGCATCTTTCTTTTGCATTTGAGAACCTGTATCCTCAGTATTTGAACTGTACTCCAGCATTTGCTTATCCTCAGTGTACAGGAATTGCAATGACTTGATAGTTTACTTAGTCTTACATTAAAGTCTTCATGTTACATAGTTTTAGAAATAATATTGGAGGATTAAATATATCACCTAGTCATAAGTATGTTATTTATCACTGTAAAAGAAAATATTCCATAATCTATTTCCCCCCCAATTTTTCTGGGGGCAAAACAGCTTAAGAAAAAAACAGAGAAAAAAAACACCCCCACCATCTTTCCAGGTTTTCCCCCAGGCCTTTCCATTGCTAGAGACATTTCAGAAACCAGAGTTTATTCATGCCATTTCCCAGTCTTCCTCTTCTTCCACCATGGAACCCAGAGGCATCTTATACAAGAGATCTCCCGTCCAAGCACTGTCCAAACCCAGACCTGCTTAACTTCAGCAATATGGTAGCATTGTGCTCCTCCCAATCTTACTCTAAAACCCAGACGGAAGCCAGATTCTCTGGAATTAGGGCTTCAGCACCCTGCATAGCTCTTTGCCCCTTTCCATAGCCAGCTGAAGGAAACATATGCAACTATGTTTCATTCACATAACTTATGCAATTCAGCTTTTCTGGCTACAGAAAATCCTTGAACTTGGGGAAGCTGGCATAGCGAGCAGTCCCATTCCACTAAGTCGTGCACAGATTTAATACTATATTTTGCTTGTCGAAAGCTTTCACAGCTGGAGTTCATTAGTTGTTGTAGATTTTCCGGGCTGTATGGCCGTGGTCTTGGCAGGTACTACCAACTATATGTCAGGTACTACAATGCCAAGACCACAGCCATACAGCCCGGAAAATTTACAACTATATTTTGCTTCTTCAGAACTGAAGGGCCCTTCCCCCTTCTTCATACTGCCTAAATACTCACCGCCAGAAGTTTCCTGCCCTCCTCATCCAAGGGTGGTACCACTTTACTGAAGTCCTGCCGGGCCCACTTAGGGAAGCTGGGTTTGTAGTCAGGCATGGACGTGACACCAGGCCACACAGTCTCATCCGGAGTGCCCAGGGTGCGGAAGATGCGGAACAGCTGGTCAATTTCTGAGTCCCCTGGGAAAAGAGCTCTACGGGTGATCTGTTCAGGAGGAGACAGAAAGATCAGGGCCGTGGTTTAAAGAGGGTGCCTTGCTTTATCCAGCCATCCCTTCTTACATTCATAGCAGATACAAATTTACTGTGTTCCCACATAACCAAAGGTAAAGCAGAGCTGGGAGGAATTTTACCAATGTTTCCCACTTATACAACACTTTTAATTTGCAAAGGTAGGCCTCCAAGCATCCCTGAATTCATTTTTAAAGGTCTCCTTTACAGAGGGGAAACAGATTTAGAGACAGTCACGTGCTCAACCACACAATTAGACCATGAAAGAGACAAGAGACATTCACGTCTAACCAGATTCAACTGTATCCACCCAATATATCAGAGGCTCAAAATAGATCCAAGGAATCAAAATTTGACTGCTGTAATGTATTAGCGCCCCCACTCACCCACAAGGCAGTTGTTTCCTAGCAGTGTCACTCTTAAGGGTATGCACATGCCTGTACCTCTCCAATAAAGCCAGAGCCGCTCTGATCCATGTCCTAGTAACCTCCCAGCTGGACTACTATAATGGGTTCTATGTGGGGCTGGCCTTCATAATGTGTCAGCAAACAAAGAATGAGCCAAAGAGCAGATTACTCTGGTTTTATGCTCATCTCACCTGGCTTCCAGTTTGTTTCTGGACATGATGCAAGGTGGCACTGGTTACCCTCAAAACCCTAAACGAACCATCCCTCCATACCTTTTGACACAGGTCAAGTTTTATTTGAGATACTTATGCCACACTTTTCTCCCCAATGGGGACACAAAGTGGCTTACAACATCATTTCCCCCTCCTTCATTTTGTCCTCACAACCACGCTGTAAGGTAAGTTAGGCTGAAAGAGAACAATTGGCCCAAAGTCACCCAGCAAGCTTCCACAGTAGTATGGAGATTCTAACCCGGCTCTCTCAGGTCCTAGTCCAACACTCTAACTGCTATACCATGCTGGAATGCAATCTTATGCCATGATCTCCATTACGTGAGGTGAGGCAAACATTTTAGAGTCCATCTAGATCGGTATTGTTTACTCAGACTGGCAACAGCTCTCTACATTCTCAAGCAGAGAAAGGTCTTTCCCACCTTTGCTAGCCAAAGGCTGTGGTCACACGGAGCATTAGCCACGCTACAGAGACAGAAGATAGGCGGATTTTCCGGGCACGATCACAGCGCCACATCTGGGAAGCGTAGAGCTCCCGTGGCGAACCCGAGGCTTCCCACAGAAGATGCGGGGTAAAAAACTAGTACCTCCGAGGTATTAGTTTCCGGAAACCGCGGGGCAAGGGCGGGCGCCTAATCACGTTTCCGGTGGTAGGTCGTGGCATCCTGCGCCCACCCATGTCCCGTCGCTAAGTTGTTTTTTTTTAAGTCTCCACGGCACAAGCACCCAACGGCGCATGCGCACACTTCCATTTAAAAACAAACAACACAGCCCCCTCCTCTTTTCCGTACCCCCCCCCTCCTGGCTTGGTCTGCTCGAGAGGAACTCTCTGCACCGGGTGGCAGAGGGGGAGGTGCAGGGGGGGCCTGGCGGGAGGGCGGCCCGGCTGAAGCTCCTCCTGGAGGGGACCAGACGGAGGACAGTTTGCATTCCTCTGCAGCCCTGGAAGGGGTTAAACCCGCGGAGCCTTTTGCTAGAGAGGCCGCTTCTTTGCCGCGCCGCAGGATTGCCTGTGATCGGCACCTCCCCCCTAACCACGGGACTTCGACGGGATGTCTGATTGCGCAGCTGTGCATTATTTTGCTCCGGGGCAAACAGCCCCGCTTCCCCCCCCACACACATTTTCCTGCCCGTGTGACTGGGGCCAAGATACTTTTAAGTGGAGATGCCAGGGGTCAAACTTGGGACCTGCTTCATGCAAGGCCTGTTTGCTACCACAGAGGTATGATCCTTCTCCCAATTAATTAAGGCAACAGGAAGCTCTTTCTGTGTAGCTCTCACTCCATGCCTGGAAGGTCCACCTTACCTCCCCTCTGCCTAACTTCCACCAGTGGGCAAGGACTTTTTTATATCTACAGACCTTCCCTGGTTATTGAATTGACTGTTGCTACCTCTGATTAATTTTTAAATATTTTAAAGCTGGTTTTTCAGGGACACCCAAAGTGGCTTTTAAAAATAAAAATACAGAGAAATGCCTCACAAATAAACCCCGTTATACCTCACAAAAAAGGCAACAAAAATAAGCACTAAACACCCTACAGAGACCAGTAAATGTAAACTGAAATACCCACATTTTATATCCCTGGAGAAAGATGAATAAATATCAGTGGACAGGGCATTCCAGCATGTGGGGAACTACAGCAGCGGAGGCACCCCAGTTTTCTAAACTGACATACAGAGCCAGGCCTGATTTCTGATCAATATTTCTCGTACTGACTTTATATATTTTTATACTGCTTTCATTTTGTAGGTCACTTTGAGCACCTTTCTACAGAAAAGCAGCAAAACAGGTATCTATATTTTTAATAATGATAGATGCGTTGAAGGTGCAGGCACCCATCTTTGCCAAACAAAGACTGCAGGGTGCTCCAACCCACAAAGGGTTAAGTAGATTTCGAGGAAAGGAATGCTGGGCTCGAAAGCTCCCATGGGAATTATTCCATACCCCCCCCCCACTGACGCACAGCCTTCTGCATGTGACACAGCTCTTTGGAATACAAGCATGCCCACACAGCCCATGGGGAAAGAAGCAGTCTTCCCAAAGCCTTAGTTCAGGCCTCAGAAGGCAAGCCCACAACAGATCTTGTCTGTTTCCCCCTTCCCGGTTCTACGAATGCTTCTGCTCCAGGGAAGGATAATGACACAAGCTGCTTCCTCCTCCATAAGGTGATGCCAAGTCAACTGATTCTTGTCAGCAGGTCTTCACAAGGGAATGAAGTGGGGAGCGTTTGATATGGGCTGACCCCCACTTCACACAGAAATCCATGAATGAAGATTCAGAAGGCTTTTGACAGCCAACGCAGGCTGGAACAGCACTGAGCTTACAGCACTAAAATGTGCCAGATGGGAATTATTCAACAATCCACAAATGCAAGTTACGTGAGCCAGGCATTATCTACGTGAATCCATTCAAGTTGCGTTTTTAAAAAAATTGGGTCACAAATTATTTCACATTTATGGGTAGAATTCGAAATTGTTTGACTGATGCACTTGGGTAACAGCTAAAGAGATACAAAGCAGGGGTGTGGGGGAAACCTGCCCTTTCAGCTACTCAACTTCCCCACTCTAGAGCACAGAAAGGTGTGTTTGCCCTTATAATGAGCCAGCCCAATGGTCTCTCATGGCCAGTTCTGTCAGCCGTGACTGACATCTAGGATATCAGGTGGGCATCTTCCCCAGATCTGACCAGGGAAAAAAAGCTGTCCTCTGGCCTGTACTAGCTAAGCCCTGTAAGAGAAACTGACCAGACCCTTTCTACAGACTTATTTGATGGCATTACTTGGGGGGGGGGGAGCCTAGTCTTGCATCTGAGTAAATACAGCATTTTGCCAGAAAAGTGACCCCTCCCGCCCGGAAAAAGAAACTGGATCAGTAAAGTAATGGGCCTGGTTTAGGTGTATACCCATCATGCTTTTCTGTGTGTGCATTACACTTTCAAGTGAATATGTCTCTCCAGATTTCCCTTACAGTGAACCACATGGCTCATTTGCAAGAGTCATTTATTTGCCTTCCAAGCAACCCTTTGTACAAGTCTTGGTTTCCATTGGAGATGGTCTGGCCGAGATGTTTGGCGGCGTCCTCGGTTGGGGGCACTGGACTAGATGGTCCACTAACTTAGGATTCTAATAATGCAAAGGTGAACTGAATCAATCCTTTCCCCAAAAGCTATTTCTAGAAAATATATGGGTCAGATTGTCATCTCCTTCCACAGCAATCCCCTGCTGTTGTTTTTTTTTTCATGTCAGGAAAGCAGACACTCACAGGAGGTCAACAAGGGATCATTTGCATCATATTGGCATTTGTACTGATACTTCTCCTCCCACCTCATTACCAGGGTAGTCTATTCACATCTTCTACTTCTCTTCTCCAAGGTATTGGGTCCAAAGGAAGGATTCTGTTAGAGACTGGAGACTTCAGCACAACAGAACCCATGGGTTTTCTGCTCATCTCCATCACCTGCCTGGTACCACAGCCTGCCCATGACCACTTTGCTTCCCAGTACCTCTTCCATTTCCCTAAAGAATACGTACCATTTCTGCAAAGATGCAACCCAGACTCCAGATGTCTACAGCTGTTGAGTAGTATTTGCAACCAAGTAGAATTTCTGGAGCCCGATACCAGAGGGTCACCACCTGGGGTAAAACACAACCATAATTCACTTCTCACCTGTCCTGCCCATGTAGCAATTAGGTGACAAACTTTTCACTGTTCCTCTCTGCAGGCAGGAGCACACAGAGCAGAGACTGGGAAGAGGATCTTAACAGCTGCATAGACCATTCCCTGGTCAAGGTCATAGCTATTTTGAATACAGCCTACATCTTTTCTTCCTTCCCTGCCTCCTCCTCCCAAAAACACATTTTTAAAAAAACCAGTATTCTCATCCCCAACTACCAAGGATTGAAAATGTGCATCGAACCATCATCCTGGGCTACTAGAACACTACCTTCATGTTCCAGACCTTAACAAAACAGCACTTTTAATGCCCAAGCTATTTCACAGCCCTAGCTTGCTTATGCTCACAAGAAATCTGAGCACAGCTTGTCCTCATTCTCATCTTTGTGTGTTCTTTCTCTCCCCCCAACACAGCTTCTCAATGACAAGCCCTGATGGCATCTGAATTACTCATTCATTCTCATTTATGAAAAAGCCACAGTTTACAGAACTGCACTCTAACCTACAGGTTGCGAGATGATTCTTTTTGAGGAACAGAATGTGGAAAAGCACTCAGAAGTCTCAGACTAGATTCAAAATCGTAGGCCAGGTTGTTCTGGAGATCTCTATATCATGGATAAAGGGGAGAAGTCATCCTATGTGCCATCCCACGCATCCTATCAGTTTGGTGTAGTGGTTAAGTGTGCGGACTCTAATCTGGGAGAACGGGGTTTGATTCCCCACTCCACCATTTGTGCCTGCTGGATAACATTGGGCAAGCCATAGCTCTGGCACAGCTGTTCTTGAAAAAGAGCAGTCTCTGTCAAAGCTCTCTCAGCCCCACCTACCTCACAGGGTGTCTGTTGTGGGGAGGGGAAGGGAAAGGAGTTTGTAAGCCGCTCTGAGACTCCTTTGGGTAGTGAAGAGCGGGGTACAAATCCAGTCTCTTCTCTCTTCTTCTTTAGGGTGACAGGGCAACAAACTTGATAACAAGGATGAGAAAATTTTGGAAAGGTTATTAGGTGAAAAGCCCACAAATTAATGTTTCCTCAATCAGACAACAGACTAAAGCCCACGCAGAAGTCAGAGCTTGAAGATGCTCACCTCGTGGGTATAGGTTCGCACCGGCACGCCAAATGCTCGGGCAAGCCCAAAGTCAGCCAGTTTTATTGCTCCCTCAGCATTGATCAGCAGGTTCTGTGGTTTGAGGTCACGGTGGAGCACACGGTGCGAGTGGCAGAAGGCAAGGCCTTGCAGAAGCTGGAACAGGTAGCTCTAGGGGGGAGGGAGCGGTGCAAAAGGGTTGAGAAAGAATAGCCGCACAAACCAGAAAGCTGTCTCTCTTACAGGCATAACTTTGACATAAAGAGCTGATGGGTACCAACCCAAGCGCCCTACAGTCACCTTAGAGTTCTGGCTGTAGCCTCTTAAGAGGACCCATTAACCCTGAATCCATTCCTATAATTATCTTCTTTTCATCATGACATTTTAAAAAGGAATGTAATGATGGGGAGGGGATTTGGGTCATATGTGCCAGAACTCTGAATCATCCTAAGTGGTTATGCTCAGAAGTCCCAAGTGGTTTGAAGGGGCTGAATTTATTGGCTTATTCAGTGTTTGATTGGCTTATTTGGGCTTTTATTTATTTATTTATTTTTTAACATTTGCCTTTGGTTTCTGAGTTGTCTGAAAAGAATCATGGCAGGGATTGGGTTGTTGTTGTTGTTTTGTCCCAGTCATAAGGACTAGAAACTTGAAGCACAAGCTAAGGTACTACTGTAGCCAAGGGAGAGGAGGGTTACATGGCTCAGTGGAACCACCTTTGGCCCATAGGGTCACACAGATCTCAGTAGTTTTGATACTACCCACAAAGGGAGGCCAAGGTGAAAATATCATGAAGCCACATGAACTTCACCCTGAGTGATATCAAGTGTTATTCAAAAGCAAGCCAGACTAAGCTTTAGTCATCCCTACTGATATGGGATCTATGCATGCTTGTGTGGGTGGCCTAAATGTGCTCACAGTAGCTCCTGCAGGTGCAAGAACTTCCTTGTCTACTTCAAAGGCAGAGTCAGCCCTGGGTGTGCATTCCATTCTGCGCACAAACCATCCTCAATGCTGAAGTAAATGAGAGAAGCCTTTGCAGGTGGGGAGCACATTTATGCTCTTGCAACTAGCACATCCAGGGCCCAAGAAGCATTTTATTTTTCCTCTGCAGCTGGTCACCTTGATAAGGGGCAACTCTACACCACTGATGGAAGTCGAAGAATCCATGAACTTCTTGAGGTCCTGATTCAGAAATTCAAAGACCAAGTACAGTTTGTTCTCTGTGTGGATCACATCCAGCAACCTGGGAAATCAAGGAGAGAGGGAGAAGAACAAACAAAAAGAAGAGGAATTTGATAAGGAAACGTTGAAGCAAAATATGGCTAATGCCATAATAACTGCAGTGTTCCTATCTTCAAGGAAGAGACCAGGGATGTTCAAGAAGTCCTTGTAGCACTGAGATTAGCAGAAACCAAATTACTGGGAAAGAAGATCTGCCCCTTTTCTGACTGTTGCAATTCTCTCAAGCATCTGGGGTTGGCCACCATTTATGCTCTTGCAACTAGCACATCCAGGGCCCAAGAAGCATTTTATTTTTCCTCTGCAGCTGGTCACCTTGATAAGGGGCAACTCTACACCACTGATGGAAGTCGAAGAATCCATGAACTTCTTGAGGTCCTGATTCAGAAATTCAAAGACCAAGTACAGTTTGTTCTCTGTGTGGATCACATCCAGCAACCTGGGAAATCAAGGAGAGGGGGAGAAGAACAAACAAAAAGAGGAGTTTGATAAGGAAAGGTTGAAGCAAAATATGGCTAATGCCGTAATAACTGCAGTGTTCCTATCTTCAAGGAAGAGACCAGGGATGTTCAAGAAGTCCTTGTAGCACTGAGATTAGCAGAAACCAAATTACTGGGAAAGAAGATCTGCCCCTTTTCTGACTGTTGCAATTCTCTCAAGCATCTGGGGTTGGCCACAAGAAGATATCGTACACTGGATGGGTGAGAATATCTCTATGGGGCTAACACGTTAGGTTTTTATATAGCATGTCCCTGGGTTCCCCACTGACTTTCAGATATCAGCTGCGTATTCACACTGAGAACTCAAGCACCAAGCCTGTGGGATCCCCTATTCAGTCTGGAACTGTCGTACACAGGGAGATGTGTAATAAATGAAGATATAAAAAAGCACTTGCCCTCTGTGCCATTTTCCTAACCTGAGACAGCTCTGGGGTTGTTATTTTTCCCCACTGGGAAAACCCACATGTACCCCATCAGTAAGCATTTAGCCCCTTCCCCACCCAAGGGAAACAGCATCCCTCTAGGGTTGTTTCCGGTCAGGAAAATGGTACTCGGTGGGGGTGACACTTAAGACCCTTCTCCCCAAAGTCCCAACCCACAATGGGTCCCCCCTTGCGCTTGGGACCCACGTTTCCTTTGGGAACTTGCAGCTGATGTGTGGCTGAAACTCCTTGGGGCAGATCCAGGGACAATACATGGAAAACCTCCTGTGTAATTAGCCTCTATTTTAGACTGGACTTTCCTAAATATAGTTGAGAGATGGAAGGTGCAGAGCTGTGTCGTTGTAAATGAATCTACGGGATTCCTCCAAGTACTTTTCCCCCAGAGTCTTTCTCTGCCAACTCAAGTCACTTACTTGACGATGTTGGGGTGGTTCAGTTCCTTGAGCAGAGAGATCTCCCGGATAGCTGTGCTTGGAACGCCTTCTGTTTCCCTATAAGCAAAGAGGGTAGACAAGGAGAGAAGGGACAAGGTTTAGGCTACAAGACTGAGCTAACCATGGTTTTGCTCCACGGATATTCAGATGTACAAAACTGAGCAAACAGTGAGCAGAAGTTGTTTTATAATATGAACAGCCATTCCACAAAGGCATACAGTATTGTGGTCTTGCCCAGTTCGCTCTGGGCCTTCCAAATTAGTCTTCCTCTACAGTTAGGCTGGCTGTTATCAAGTAGACAAAGGAGCATTCCTGGGGCCCAGGGCTTTTCCACCAATGGGGTGGAGTCCATCTAGTACAAGCAGAGTACTGTTTGCAGAAATTAACTTTCCTATCTCCTCCCACCCCAAATCTGCTGTGCCTCCCCCAAACTGTCCCAGGGGAATTTAGCAGGCTCCCAGAATTAGTACCGGGGATTAGCCAAAACAAGCCTCCTTTTTCCACTGGCACAAAATATTATTAGTATTCACTCCAATGGAAGCTGCAGTTTGTTGACAGCATTGCTGCATGCCTCAACCAGAAATGTAACAAGACTTTGCATATAAATTGTCTGTACAGACATGCCCATCAATACTAAATTTTTGAGTGGAGTCGCAAGCATCATTTTACTCGGTCTGATGATCAAGAACCCTGGAAATGTTAAGTCATTACCAAACATCCAACAATATTATTTGTTTGTTACTATCATGAGACCTGAATGTAGTGGGAGGGGAGCTCTCATTCATACTCCAGCTACTGAAACAATCAAATATGCCATGTTTGCAACGTCACGTTCACAACTTTCAAGGACTAGAGGCTTAAAAAATTAAAAGCAAACGGAAGGAGCCACAAGAAGCGCAAATGGTCTTGTGAAACTACATATTGCCAACAGAGTTGGTTTCCTCTCCTGGTTTTACCAATGAAAACATTAGGCACAACGACTGCAAAGAGTGTTGATAGTGCCAAACATCTCTTCCAATGGGACAGCTCATTTCTGAATGCACACTTCAGCTAATTAATCTATTAGCAACAGTGAAGTCCTCACTGATTTCAATGCTATGAAACCAATTCTGTATTTTTCAACTAAAATCTCTTTTGGCATAAGAGTGCGTACGTTTGTGAGCTATGCAGGTCTTGTTAACTGAAAAGATTACCTATTCCTAAACTCATACACTTTGTTTCACTACAGACAGCTGCATACCCTTAGTTTCTGGGATCACAACAGAATATATATTTTAGAAGCTGAGTTCACTGTACATGTTCACTGTATGGCAGTGGAGGCAACGATGGCGGCGGCGATCCTGGCGTGGACGGCATTGGTGGTGCGGCGAGCAAGGTGGTGGCGAGCAAGGCAAGGTGCGCGTTTGAGCGATCCCTGGTGGCGGAGAAGGAGTACACCGAGGGCTGCCGTGAAGAGAGAAGAAAGGGGCGTGCGCAGATGCCGAGTTCCGGCTCAGCGGAGCCGGAAAGGACGTGGCCGGGCTGGAAAGTAGGCGGAGCTGCGCGCCTGAGGAGATCGCCACCACTGAACGCCGGAGACGCCAGAGAAAGAACAACCCGCTGGACCAGGAGACCCGACCATGCCGAGCCAACGGAGAAACAGCAATAGCCACCACAGAGGGGGTGCCGGTAGGTTGTCCCACCACCCCTTCATACATTGTGGCCCTAGCTAGGAACACAGGTGATTAGCACCAGAAACCCTGTAAGCCGCTCTGAGACCCTAGCCATGGGACAAGAGCGGGATATCAAGTCTAATGTAAATAAATAAATAAATAACAAGTCAGGTGCTTAAGCAGCTCCAAAATTATGCAAGTAACTCCCCAATAGGGCTGTCTGGCCCAGGGAAATGGCAGGTGGGGAGCAGGTGCCCCCCCCATGCAGTGGTCTCAAAATAATGTTTCTTGCAACTTCTGTGTGACTGCAGGGAAAGTGAGCTGGATCCAGGTTCCCCATACAGCACTCATTAAAAAATATATTGTGCAGGTTGGCCCTTCAAGTTAACTTATTAGTAACAAACCAAGATCTTGAGTGGATTTCGGCAAGAAATTTTTTGAGTTCCACTGCAATGGAACTAGACACAGCGTTCAGCAGCTCCTAAACCAACTGCAATAACATGCAGTAATAAAGATCAGGTTGTCTCTGGGAACATGCAGAGTGCATTCCCACCACCACATGTATGGGGTTCAAAACTGTGTTCCAGTATAGACTGAAGCCTGCATTTTAGAAATCTGTCATTGGGTTTGAGCTGCCCATTTCTCCCCTATAGTTATTTACCTTACTTTGCAATGGATTCCATAAAGGCTAGCTAGGCCAGGCCTTCCAAATGTATACAGTTAGGCCTTGTTTTGCTATCCAATGCCTCAGCAATTTTTCCACACCCAATAAAACAATAACAGAACAGGCAGAGAGTCCTTGCTTAGATAACAACCAAGTTAGGCAAGCACAATGGGGGCAGGAACTATCTGCTCTTTGCAAGGTTCTCTCTTGCCAACAGTGTGTGCTGAAGTTCACTTGGAAAGGGCTTAAGCATCCTTGGCTGGCCTAGCTCCGAATTTTAGATCTATGGTAACTGGCAACAGTTGCCCAGAGATGGATGGAAAGTCACTCTGCACATGCTCAGGGAAGAGATTCAACACACACACACAGGTTTCAGAACCAGCTTGTGATGGCCAGTAATAGGGAACCTAGACTCCAGTCTGCACTGACATGGTCCAATTTTCTACTGCCATCCATCCCACAGACAGAAAATCAGCTGCCTTTCTACAGGAGCCCATTTCAATGTATATATTGAGCATAAAGATAGCCAGTCTCTCTCTCTCCACAGCTAAACAGACTCCGGATTTCTTTCGCGGTCTCTTCTTCACTCATACCCCCTCCCCGCAATGGCCTCATTCCGTTTTGATCACCGCCTAACTCTGCGAGCCGTCTACGTGCTCAAAGACTTCGAGCACCCTGCCCTGGGGCAACCTGGCATTTCCACTTAAGGGAAATCATCTTATCATTAAAACAGAGCAGGCAGACACGGAGGCGGATCTCATCGCCATCGCATCACTTTCTACAGACTTCAACAAGCGCTAGAGGGCTGCGGGGAGAGAAGGCGGGGATCGAGGAAGAACGATCAGGGCACAGAAGACGGGCGGAGGAAGGACCAAGCTAGCAGGCTCGGATTACACAGACACACACACACACTTTTCCCAGGGCCCTTTGCTCGTCACCCAGCCATTCATTAGAAGGGGGGGGGGGATCAATAACAGCCGTGCGGCTCCTTCGAAACAAACACATTTATTCTTGCAATAACTTTATGGAGCAAAACCCCTTTGGCAAATGCATGAAGGAAACACACACTTCTCACATGTAACTATTCCAAGGGGGGCAAAGAGAAGGTCAGATGATTCTTTCTGCTCCCTCCCAGCCGAGCTGTTTCAAACAGCAAAGAGGCTAGCGCCCCACCCACCCCCAGTCGGGTTCTTGTTTGGTTTTGGAGGGTGGGTGGCAGACGAGGGGGAGAGTTGCTGGGGGACTCACGTGTCCAGGCGGATTTTCTTCAGCGCCACCACCTCGCCGGTGACTTTGTTCTTCGCTTTATACACCACGCCGTAGGTCCCCTCCCCGATCTTCTCCACTTTCTGGAAGTTCTCCATGGAAGGAGAAGCCGGCAAAGATGGATCCCAGTTTGCCTTCGAGACCCCAGGAGGCCAGGGAAGAGAGTGTTTTCAGAAAAGAAGGAAGGAAGGAAGGAAGGAAGGAAGGAGCTAGCAAGGTCCAGGCGGGGGCCGGGGCACCGATCAGCGGTCGGGCGGTGGACGGTGCGGTTGGGAAAGGCCAGCCTCGCCACGCGCCCACCTGACGCGGGGGGAACCTGGTGTATTTTTTACTCGACAGTTGGCCGGTCGCTCTTTCTTTTCCCGCGCGCGGAAATAAGAAATTTGCAACAAAGCTGTTGCCTCCAAGTCCCCTCCTCCTTCCCAACCGCTTCCCGCGTTCCTTTCGCCCCGCCTACCCTTCCATCCGATTGGCTGCGACGCACGTTACGAAGCACGTTGAGGAAGGGTGGGAGGGAAGGAAGGACGAGGGAGTCTTCTTAAAGGGCTCCGGACTTCCACCCAGAACACTTACAAAATTAAGGGGCTTGTGGGGGAGAGTCAGTATTTTTATATTTGGGGCGGGCAAAATAGAGGAATGTATGCAGTGAGTGTTTCGGCTTTAGCCTACCTTAGTAACCCCAGTGCTTTTCAGAATAACTGTTTTCCTGATAGATCGTGGATGTTATTTTGCCTCTTTGTTTTTAATAAGTTTTGCATTTTACATTTTGTTGTAAGCCGCCTCGGGAAGAGATGCGATGAGAAATACATTGATGAACTGGCAGTGCAACCCTATGCGGAGTCACTCCAAGGCCAGAGTAACTCTTCAAGTGAAGTCCCATTTATGATGCATTTACAGGATTCTAGTCCTGAGATGACAGTAGCATAGATTAGCTAGCTGGATTGGCCCTATCTTGGAGGCGGCAATTTTCGAGCTAGATTTAGCTGAAGGAGAACGTTCCATCATCTTTGTTTCCTTCCAGTTAACTTCAAGATGGAGATCTATTACATAGCTGCAAAGTAGATTCAGGTAGGTCAGAAGCAGCAGAACAGAAGAGTCATAAGAACATAAGAGAAGCCAATGTTGGATCAGGCCAAAGGCCCATCCCGTCCAACACTCTGTATCACACAGTGGCCAGAAATACCAGTGCCATCAGGAGGTCCACCAGTGGGGCCCGGACATTAGAAGCCCTCCCACTGTTGACCCCCCCCCCCAGCACCAAGAGCCCCTATCACTTGCCCCAGAGCCCCTATCTATACCATGTGGCTAATAGCCACTGATGGACCTCTGCTCCATATGCTTATCTAATTCCCTTTTGAAGCCATCCATGCTTGTAGCCGCTGCCACCTCCTGTGGCAGTGAAT